TTGTTGTCCTTTTTCTCTATCAAATCTTTTATTAATCATCATAAATTATATATCATTTGAAAGCTTAGAAGCCCAAGATTCATCCTGTGAAAAAACATTTTGAAATCGGACATTGCGTTACCATGGAACTGGAACTTTAAAATATTTTGGCGGTCTCCTCACCCTTACCGTGCAGTGTCAAGTGTCATATTACAAAATGAATTACAGTCTTTTACAATCAAAACTTTTTATAATCTTGACATAAAACATATAATTGGAAATGGCTGAGTCTCAGGATTCCATATTTGGCGGTTATTTTGTAATAGTAATATTGACAGAGAAATCTAGACATTTGTGACATAAAAAAATGCATTAAAAAAATGAAATGGAGTTTTGATGGCACCCGGTGGCTGTTTGTGGTATAACGCCCTAAATAAAATCTCACAGAAACCTCAATTTTTTTCATATCAACTTCAAATTTGGAACATAACTTATTTAGACATAAGGATTTACTTTCTTAGCAATTTTAGAGTAAAACATGTTATGTAAAATGTATTTTATATAAAATATAATAAAAATTGTACAGTGCATTTTCTTTACAGTAAATTTAAACTTCTATACATTTTTTATATTTAAATTTTAGAAAATTTTGAAATAATTCCACTTCTGCAATAATCTGCTGACTGTCTTCTTTAAAAAGAGACCAACATTTCCTCTGTATTCCAAAGTGTTCATGAATTATAACAATTTAAGTTTGGATAGTGCACTTTCAATGCATATTTAAAAAAATGGGGGGAGTTAATATACTTGATAATCAGGATGATTAACTTGTATTGATAAACAAATTGATAAACTTCAGGTGCCCTCCATGAAAAAATGTTACATCTGTTATGGGGTTGCAGAGAACTTATAAAACACCTATGTTTTTTTGCTGGTTTCTCAAACAGAAATTATGAAAAATGATTGGAAAGGGAAAAAAAATTGGTTAATTTTGAAATGACTGTTATTTATTTATAGCTTTAGGTACTCTGGATCCCCACACATAAAGATTGTAAATTCAGTCTTAACAGAAGGTGAGAGTTACTTTGAGAAATGTATATGTAAATACACCTCCAGCAAGGATGTGAACCTGTTCAAATCCTATCCATTAGCTATAGCCTAAATGAATTTTAGATATCACAGTGTGTCAATCTGAGGTTTGTAAAATGTACTCAAAAATTATTACTGTTTAGAGAATACTGTTTGTAAGTACCAGATTATTTTGGGACTATGTCTGAATGGTATTGTATCTTTCTTGGCTCTTATAGCAGTGACTGCCTCCAGCTGAAATGTTGCCAAAGAGATGCAGTGCCAGCCCTAGTGCATGCTCCAGTTCCTATGCAGTTAAAGTGCCATCAATTAAACTGCTAACAAGCAAATGTCTGTACCCGTTTAAGTTTACAATTAAGGATTTCATACAGATACACAACCTTGTTTGTGCTGATCAAATTAATTAACATTGGCAGTGAATTCAAATATAAGTAAAAAATAATTCCTGGACGAAAAACTACAGCCTTGCAGAAGGTTACTGGGAAATGCTTAGACATTCTGTTAAGAAAATTATGCTCCTCACTCCACATTAGCTAAATGTTATTATTTACTGACCACAAAAGCTCTACCAACTTGTCCAGGCTCATCCAAGTTTAAAAAGATTTTTGGTTTAGACAGTGTTTCATTTTTCATGTCTGAATGCGTGTTTGTGTGTGTCATGACGAGCTGGCATACAGTATGATTTCCAAACCTGACAGTTCAACTTTGACCAGATAAAATTAAGAAGCACTGAAGCATCAAACATTGGTTAATACTGACTCTGACAAAGAAATACTCTGCTAATTATAAACCAACCTAGAAAAGTCCCCTTCAGCAAAATTGATTTAATTGATCAACAGAGAGCTTCAGAATTCCTACAGTAGCTTTAGTAACACATGACACTTCCAGTTAATGAGAGGGGCCAGGAAGAGACATTCTTACCATTGTCTTCCACTGTGAAGTAGAATATGTCACTTGTGGCATTGGAACCATCAAGAAGCACATAGCAAATCTTCATGTCATCAATATCCGCTAATAAGGAGAAAGGACAGAGTATGAGAAGTTGGAGATTCCTTTCGGGCTCTGTCTTTACATTTATTTTGAAAGATGAAGCTCTCGATTGTGGTAAGGGGCGTTACATTTCCGATGAGTGCTAGCTGTGTTCGGCCAATCACAATGCACTGGGTCAGCTGGCCAATCAGAGCAGACTGCGCTTGTCGAAGGCTTTGACTTTGTAGAAAACGAAGCGTTTGAGAGAGGCGGGGCATAGAGGATCTACAATAATGTACAGTATTTGAAAAAGAATGTGTTTTTTGAACATTAAAGCATGTCAACATATTCTGTTACACCAAATACACAAAATAATGATCTTTAAAAAAGCATCATATGACCCCTTTAAATAACAGTGACAGGTTTTGTATAGTATATTTCAGAAACAAAAAGGTAAACTAGATTTACTTACCCTGTGAAAATGACTTGATGCTATCATTGCCCAAAGCAGAATTCATGATAAAGCCATGAAGAGGAGTCTCAGTTACAACATACTTAAGCACTTTGTTTGGGCTGTCTCTGTCCTCAGCCTTTAGAGCTTTGCTGGTAATCAAAAATCCAAGGTGCGCAGTATGAAGAACCCTAAGTGTGGGTGCTGCTTTGTTTACAACGATTTGAGGCACCCCATTGTCCACCGTGGTGATGTGAATAGTCATCACCTGAGGCTTACGAGTTTCATATACAGTATCAGGGAAAACATAAAATTCAGTGTGAGTCCCATCAGTAACTGTGAAAGAAAAGCTGTCTTCATTTGTCTCTGTGCCATCATGCCTATAAGTTATAAGGTTTTCATTTAGGTCCTGCTTGGTAAAGGATGTAATGACTTGCGTTCCATTGAACAGAAGCTGACCGTGAACTGGCACTTGAGTCACTACAAATCTCAACAGGTTGTCTGGTGTGTCACGGTCCTCTACTGTCAATTCAAAGGGTGTGATCAGCTTGGTTTCTCCCTCCCCCAACGCCAACTTGTTGGTCGTCAAGACTGGCTTCTTGTTGTCGACATCTGTAATGGATACACGAAAGGTGCGGAAGACAGGGTTGTAGCCATCTGTCACCTCAAACTCAAAGCTGTCCATCTTCACTTCATCATCAGATGTATGGATATAGTAGATCTTGTTGCCAGCTAGCTGCAGCTGAGTGAAGGTGGAGATGGGCACCCCTGGGAGATCGGTACTTTCAAGATGGCCCCTGCTAGGAGCACGAGTGATGCTGAAACTTAGATATTCATCTGGACTGTTGATGTCAGTTGTGCTGAGAAGGTCTGTGGTCAAGGTGACCTTACCTTCCTCTTTGAGGGTCACACCTTTGTTGATAACATCAGGGAAGACCATGTCCATGCTGCCAATATTAATGTAGAAGTAGCGATCAATGAGGGGATTGATTCCATCAGTTACATCAAACTTTAACAAGTCACGGACACCCTCCTGGCCTGTGTGAACATACTGAATCAACTGTTTGTCAAGTTCATCTTGAGTGAAATTCATTCCGATGCTAATGTTGCCAATGACAAGTCCATGTTTGGTAATTCTCTGAAGATAGCCTTGACCAGGGCCGTAGCGGATAATGTAAGTAAGTTCTTTGTCTTCAGAATCTAGATCTGTGGCCTTCAGGACTCTGTTACTTATTACTTTGGTTTCTCCAATTTCTACTTCCAGGCCATCATTGATGGCCATTCTTGGGGTTTCATCATCAACAGGAATGACCATTATAATGACCTTCTCCTCAACTGTGTGCTTCCCATCAGTGAGTCGAATTTCAAAACTGTCTTCCTTGGTTTCAGAGTCATCATGCTCATAAACAATATTGGAAGCCTCCTTGATCTGATCTAATGTAAATTTTACCACTGGAACTGTTCCAGTGCTCAACTGCTGAACTATGTTTCCATGTTTTGGGTTTTTAAGTATTTCAAAAATTAATTCATTGTTTGGGATGTCTGCATCAGCAGCATTCAAAATAGTAGTGTCAATAACCAAGCTCATCCCCTCCATGACAACAAACTCACGAATGAAAATCTCTGGCTTTTCATCATTGGCTGGGATGATGACAATGGGGAAAAAGTGCCTTTCTGAAAAGTTAATGCCATCGGAGCAGCGGAAAGTGAATCTGTCCTCCACTGGCTCCACACCCTTGTGAATGCTTTGGACATAATAGATGTGACCTAGACCAGCATCTTTAATGGTGAACGCAGTGATGGCAGTGCCTGCTCTGGATTTTTCAGACCCAGGAGCTGGGGAGATGTTCTCCACATAGCCAGATGTGGACTGAACGATAATAGTACACAATATATCATCATTATCAGTGTCAATGTCCTCAGCTTGAATGTGCTCTAATGTGATAACATTTTTCTCACCCTCAATTACTACAAACTGGCCACCCACACTAACTACAGGTGGGATGCTGTCTACAGGGAGAATGGTGACGTGAACACGGACCCCTTGGACTTTGTTGCCACCAACAACCCATTCATCTGACATGTCAGATATGGTAAGATTGAAGGAATCATGCTCTTTGATTGGACCAATTTCACCGCTAGTGTGAACATAGACAACCACACCATTGATTATGTCTTGCTGGGTGAAGCGCTCAGCTGGAGCTCCATTCACCAATATTTCTCCTAGCCTAGGAGGCTCCTCAACTATGAAAGTCAGCATGAGGTCATCTGTGTCTTCGTCACGACCCTGGATAACATTACTGGTGATCTCTGTTACACCATTCTCAAGTACATCAATTGACGCCCCTAACAATCCGGCCGGTAACATAATTTTTGGAGTTTCATCATCGACCGGCTTGATGCTGATCTTGACAGCAATTGAGACTTCATGGAACCCATCACTAATGTCCAGCTTAATGACATCATGAAGAGATTCTTCACCACTGTGGATGTAGGCCAGTCGGCTGTTTTCAATGTCCTCCAACACAAATGTTTGGCCATTAGACATGCCAATTCCTAAATATTGCAGCTGCCCAAACCTGGGAATCTGTGTCACTGTAAATTTAATGTTCTCATCCTCAGTGTCCTGGTCAGAGGCATCCAGTTCATTTTTGGTTATTATATAAGTATTTCGCTCCAGAACAGTGAAACCAGTGTTAGTAATTACAGGGGGTTTGTTGTCAACAGGCTGTAAAAAGATTGTAAACAGTCCATCAACTGAATTACTAGCAGTGTCTTCCACGCTGAATGTAAACTGGACCACTTTGGGAGTAATACCGAGCTCTTGGACTGGGGGTTTGTATGCCACTTTGTGGTGGTTGACCTGAGCTTGCGTAAACTCTCTGATTGTGATGTCAGGGCTATCAGTTAGCACAACGGCACCAAGAGGAACAGGGTTGTTTTCATCTGTGTCAGTAGGAGGTTTGATGACAGTGTACTTAAGATCCCTGTCATCACAGTCCAGATCGGTGTAACGTAGATATTTTTTCTTAAAAAATGTCAGCTCATATTCTTTGACTTCCATGTGTAATGTGGTACCAGGGTAAAGTTCTGGAGGAATGTCATCCACCGGATGTATTTTAATGGTGAATGTGTGCTCTCCTGATTGATTTGGTGGGTCATTGTCATCCAGGACTCTGAAGACAAACTGGTCAATCACAGTTGTGGTACTATGAGGTCCTTTATGACGATAGAACAGCTTCCCGTCCAGAATATCCTGCTGAAACCATTCTGTCACCACCTGTTCAAACATCTCATCTGTTGCACTAAATTTCCACGCAGATGGATCCAGAGGAGGCTCCACCTGCTTGAGGAGTAGCTCACCGATGTCTGAGTATGACTCTTCTAGTATGAATTTAATTGTTGAATCCTCTGAGTCAATGTCTGTGGCACTCAAGATAAAAGGTGAGATTTGCATCACTTCATTCTTGAAAAGCACGATACCGGTGTTTGCATTTATAATGGGGGGTTCATCATCAGTGGGGGCAATTGTGATGGGGAATAAAAACTCTACTTCATTACTGCCATCAGTCATTCTGAATATAATATTGTCACTGTAGGTATCACTTCCATCATGCTGGTACACAACAATGCCAGCATCTAGATCAGCTGGTGTGAAAAATTTTCTTTGAGACCCTAGCACTGTCAGGTCTCCATGTTTTAAGCCATCAACAACTGTAATCTTCACATGATCAAGATTATCCTCATCGCTGATCTCTAAATTTTGTAAGCTGGATAGTGGTCTTGATTGACCCTCAAACAGCAATTGTCCTGTATTTTTGGTTACCACTGGAGCTAAAGTGTTCATTGGCTTCACAACAATCATGAATGCAAAATGATCAGAAACAGCACCATCAGTGTCAACAATTTCTAATTCAATCTGGAAAATTCTTTCTACATCTGAATCCTCAGAGGGAGGCTTGTAAGCGATCTTCAGGTCTTTAATATCTCTCTGATGGAAAGATGTGATTGGCTGGTTTTGATCATCTGTGCTGATTATATAACCCTGCTGATAGCCCAGGGGAGATGTTATGTTAAAAATTAATTCATCAGAATCAGATTCAATATCCTCAGCTGCCAGCATATCTGAAGTAATGGCTGTCATCACAAATTGGTCAATCTCCATCATCATCATAGATATAAAGCTAGGCTTTGGTGGTGTATTTTCAGTACCCTCTTTGATTCTAACCATTATCTGGAAATGTTCCTGTTGAATAGTATTTCCATCATTATCTTGTACTTCCACTAGCATTGGAATATAGTCTCTGTTAGGAGAGTTGGTGGTTGCTGTGTGCTGATACTGAATTCTCTTCTTGACAAAATCATCACAATTAATCATCTGGCCATTAACAGAGTTATCAGTAAGACTACCATACCTGGGAAGTTTGCCTGCACCAACCAGTGTGGTCACCTTACATGTAGTGACACCATCTTCAAACGCAAACTCCAACGTTTTCTTGTCAATTGGGTTGCTTAGCCCATTTAGCTTGTCCACAACCAGAGGCATGTTACGAGTGAGAATCTCCAGCTGCTGAAAGACCACTTCTACTTCAAGAATGAAAGGAACCACCACTGTGTCTATGTGGGAGTCATACCTCAGCTGTAGTTTTATGTGGTCTTTGCTTGGACTCCGGGAACCAAAGTGAGTATATTTGACCTCTTCTGCTCCAAAAGCGCAGGGGAACTTCTTGGGTGTAAGCATTCCAGGTCTTTGGGCCAGTGGGTCATTGTCCAGGACTGTAATATGACAGCGGTCTCCTGCATGCACTTCAGTCACAAGGTCATTGATAGCGTCCATATAAACAGAGCGTCCAAAGGGAACTCTAATCCCATTGTTGGCTACCAATATTGTTTCAGCAGTAGGTCCAGGTTGGTGCCTATGATGGAAAGACACGTCAAAAGGATCTGCATCCACTTTAGATAGATAACATCCTAATGAAAGCAATATAAACAGGCACTTCATAGTTGCTCCTGCTGCACTCAGCCTTCCTCTTTGCAGACAACCAGCCATATTTTTTATAGCTAGCTGCACTGCATGAACTTGCAAAAATAGATGAACTGCAGTGTCCAAGCAAGATTTGATTCCCTTGATTTCACAAGGCTTGGTTTTGATCTCACTGCTACGTTTCCCCCTCTCTCTGTCCTTACACACAGCACAAGTGCAGCTAACCTACTGAAGCACTGCAGGTAATACTTAACAAGGGAGATAGTGACAGCACAAAGCTCCACCCTCAGTCCAACCTCTCCCACGGCTAATTTAAGGCAGCACAATGCAGCCCCCCAAAGTGTTGGATTCACTCTAACCCTTCCTCTCTTTTTCTCCTTTCTTACACACTGAAGGCAGAGAAGTTCATATTAAGACCAGTAAGGAAATAATTTAGCTATAGAAATTTAAAAAAAGGAAAGAAAATATATAAACCAAGACAATGCTGTTGTGAAATTCTGAAGTCCTTATGGATGGTGCCACTGATTTGTGATATGTGTGACAAATGCTTTAAGGAATATGTGGTTGCCCAGGATTTATTTCTTTTTTCATGGTTTAAGGACAATGGTCAGGGCATCTGATGTTCAACTTGTGAACATTTCTTCAAAAGTATTCATTTAGTTTACCTTGCCAAAATAACTATAGATATAGCTGAATAGTAGCAACAGTGCCTTCTGTTGGAGTGATAAAGACAAAAATATATAATAAAAAAAAAATATTGGCAATGTGGCATAAATTATATTAAAATATAATAAAAATGTTAACACAAAAATAAATGTAACACGTTTCCATAATTGATTTAAACATATGTATAAAAGATAAATAAGATTGCCATCCTTTCTGGGAAAGAGTTATTCTGAATGAGAAGTCTAAATTGAATTTAATTTTGTTTTTATATAATAACATTTTATTTTTTTATTCTTTTATAAAATGTTTAAAAATAAAATGTATATTTTATGATTTTTTTTATACTGTAAATGTGTGTGTATGTTTGTGTGTGTGTATAGAGGTTAAATCAATTATAATTAATTGATGTGGTACTTTTGGTATTTTTTCTAATAGCACTTTACAGACTTTTTGTTTTCAGTCAATAAATTCATGCTGTGTTTGAACGAAATTATGTGTCTATTTGCTTGTAACTTGTGGAGTCATTTCATGGGACAGTCGAAAGGTCAAGCCACACAATACACATACCAGTTGGTTAAACAGGTGGACAGAGGCCCCTTTATTGTAGTAAAATAATAAAACAAGGGTTGCACCCTGAATTGTTAATAACTCTTGAACTCAAAGAATGAGTTTTATTTATTTATTTTATTTATTTTTCCTTAATTCTTCCAGTTACACACGCATCAATGTAAATAATCAGCAGCGCTAAGCTGTTGAAAGGTATATTCAGGCACATTTCCTAATGACACTTTATTTGCCAACCATAAGCATAGTTTGACCAATAGCTTGATTCACAGTGATCCTAATGGGCGTGATGTCCTGCTGCCTGCCTAAAAAAATCCTCTCATATAATTTTATTTCTAGAGAGTCCAAATATATCTTTTGTGATTGCAGTCACTGGGGATGGGATTTTAAATGCGTCCACCGGATGATGATGATGGAAATCCCCCATGGCTGTCAGGAGTACATAGAGTTTATGCCTTAATGTGACACATGATCTTGGGCACCAATACAAGTGTTCAACATCAATTGCAAAAAAAGGAGGAGAAATAGATTTAATTCTTTGATAAAGATTTATTTATTTATATACTATACCTATAAGCCTGCTTTATTTTGTTCATGTTTTTATGTTGCGACTTCAGCTTAGCATGACCTGGCTGAAGTGAGAATCAGGGTAGATACTTGAGAATACATACTGTGCATGGAAACCTTGTGGTCGCATCTATATATAAATACCCTCTTTCCATTTATGGAGCAGTGTTTCAAATGGATATATGGGAATTGATACCACCTCACATATCCGATTAAATGACCAATAATATTTTTGTTTTGGTCATCATTTTCTCAGATAACTGACTTTCCTAGTTCATTAGAACTAATTAACTCCATTAATGTAATTTACTTAAGTCATTTACTTAAAGCATCATATTACTGAACACATGCACGTGTTTTGATGGTTAATTATGTCCCAAGATACCATTCATTGCCGTTTCCAAAATAATTTAACTGGTTAACACTTTATAATAAGGTTCAGTTTGTTTGTTAATGCATTATGTATTATGACTTAACAATAAACAATACTTTTTACAGTTATTAATCAAGGTTAATGTAATTTATGGTTAGATAGATAGATAGATAGATAGATAGATAGATAGATCTAAAATTAAATTAAATATTTTGAATTTCTAAATATTTTATATAAATATTAATTATTATTTGATCTAATATATATATATATATATATATATATATATATATATATATATATTTA